CCCCAAAACCCCAAAACCCCAAAACCCCAAAACCCCAGAATTCAACTAAAACATTGAAATAATTCAAAATATAGTTTTTGAAGATAGTTAATCAAATATTTGATAGAAATTACATCATTTTGGCTTTTATTAAGTCAAGCTTGCTCATCTTTTTCTTCTTAGAAGGGGCCTCACTTGTTTCGCTAGGTTCGGCATCTGGAACTTTTACACCCATATTTTTGCTTATAGCTTCTCTTTCTTCCTTCTTTCTCTTGGCTTCTTGGTCTCTTTGTAATCTTTTCTGTAATTTTCTTCTCCTTTCATCCCTTCTCTTCTTTCTCGCAATATCAGCAGCTTCACTTCCATCCTGTTCAGAATTTCCCTTCTCCAAAGTAGTCTGGGAGCTCTTCTTGGCACTCTCAGTATCCACCAGTGACGTCTTCCTAACCTTCACCTTCTTTCCCTTCTTGGAACATCCCAAATCGGCCATCTCTAACTTCTTCAGTCCCTTCTTGACCCTCTTCTTCACTTTCTTCTTACTCTTTTTACTCAATTTCTCAGCAGTCTTTTCCTTCTTCTTAATAACTGCAGGCTTGCCTGGAGTCGCCTTTCGTTCTTTGAGAACGGATTTGGTTGATTTGGGCTTGGATTTTGATTTAGATTTGGACTTTAGCTTGGATTTCTTTGGAGATCGCTTGGTTATGATCTTCTTTTTGATAAGCTTTTTCTTCTTTGGGGATTTTGGCTTGGACTTTGACTTTGATTTCGACTTTCTAGGAGATGTGTTTTTAGAAGAAGTACCGGAGGGGTTGTCTGAAGAAGAATTTTCAGATTTTTCTTCTGGATTAGACTTGCTCTGGGGATTTTTATCTTCATTTTCTGGTTTAGAAATCTTTTTCTTTGGGGAGGATTTTGACTCTTTCTTTTTAGATATTTTGCTCTTTTTCTTAGGAGAGAGTTTACCTGATTTCTTTGGTGAGGATTTCCCTGATTTCTTAGGAGATGACTTTAGTTCTTTCTTAGGAGATGACTTTCCTCCTTTCTCTGGAGAAGCTTTTCTCTTCTTCTTGTTTGAAGAAATCTTTCCTTCATTCTTAGAATCGGATGTATTTTCATCTTTCATTTCTATATCAGAGGACTTATCAGCTTTTTGTGCTGATTGCACTTTATCTTTCTTTTCCTGTCCCTTGATGAGAGTTTCCATTTCATCATCATTTTGAATCGCATTGTTTAATTTCCTTATATCTTCTTCCTTCACTTGAGTATTCTTTGTATCTTTGGTCTCTTCTTCCATGTCTCAATCTGACCCAGAAATATCTTTCTTTATTGGTTTGCAAATTTTTTCAGTAGGAGCTACTTGAGTATCTTTCTTATCTTTTTCTTTCTCTGCAGCTTCTTCTTTGAGAAGCTCTTCCATAGAAATTCCTCGCATTTTAGCCTTAGCTTCTCTCTGAAGATTTTGCTTGTAAATTTCTCTCTTTTTGAGAGCTTCCTTCTCTCTGTCCTCTTCAGCATTAACAGGTAGTCTTTTTGCCTTCTTAGTAAGAGTGTCAGAAGTCTTTACAGAATTCTCATCTGTAGTATTTCCTTCATCTCCTTTCTTGATCTGCTCCATCCTTTCTTTAAACGAAAGAGCAATTGAGCCAGTATCACATGAATCTTCAGTCATCTTGGTGTTAACACTTCTATTCTGGTCAGTTGAGGCACTATCAGATTCGTTTTCGCTGCAGTACCAGTCTAAGGTATCTCCATTTCTGTCAGATTCTCCCATAAGTCTGACATATTCAGCCTTTGTCTTCATATCTTCTTCTGTCATTTTGTATGAGCTCCAAAGTGGATTTTCCTCTCTCATTTTCTTATACCTCTCGAATTCCTTCTGATCCAATGTCATTGGAAGGCAAGCACCAGAAGATGCTTTTCCTTCAGTACCATCAGAAACAAATAGCTTGTTGCTATTTATCAAGATCGGATTGAGCCTCTTTTTCTGCTCGTTTCTGAACAGACCTTCATAGACTATATTGTTGACTCCGTCTTTGTGAAGGTTGTACATTGCTCCTGATAGCTTTCCTTCTTGACGAATCAAGCCTCTCCTTTTACGCATGGCTCTTCCTCTAGCTGTTCTTCTTGCTTGCTTTTGTTTTTCAACTAGTTCATCCATTTTCCTCGTGGATCTACATAACTTAGATTCAGAACTTACTCTGAAATCCTTTTGATGAAGTCTTCTTGGCTCTCAAAACTGAGAGAATCCCAAATTTTTGGGTTTCGCTTCATCTGCATCAGCATGCATTTGTACTCCTGGAGCTGGCAGAATATGAAATTGGACCTCTGCTGGTCGATTTTGTAGAACAGTAAGATAAACTGATGCACACACTCGTTGTTAGTCTAGAGAGTAAGGATGAAGAACTTACATGAAGGATAAAATCATTGTCTTTGATGTACGTCTTGAGATCTCTGAGCAACTGAAATGTAGGGGCAAACTTCTTTTCTTCCTTCCCAGCATTTTTCCATTCATCCAGCTCCTTAGTCAGCTCATTCTCGAAGATCTTAATGTCTTCGTTAAACTTCTTATCAGCGGTTCCCGGTGTAAGGGTATCTGTCATTGCCAAGAATTTTCTTGAGATTAAAGACTAAGTTTAAGCCTGGTTCTTGTTCCTGGTCTTAGTCGCCAAGCACTCGGAAATTACGCAAGAAAATAATAATTCTTCAATCTCGATTGGTAAATAAGGGGTTTTGGGGTTTTGGGGTTTTGGGG